ATAATAATAATAATAATAATAATAATAATAATAATAATAATAATAATAATAATAATAATAATAATAATAATAATTACCAAAATTCCAGTTTATGCAAATCCTCTGATGCAGAATTTTTATGAATTGCATAATAAATATATTGAGAAGCTGCTATACTGATGGAAATAATTCCGAGTGGTTTTACGAGACTAAATAAATTTTATTTTATCAATCAAAAAATTAAAAGATTTTTTTTTTGATAGATGTATAATTTTAAGAACTAATTATTCACACTTACACAATTGTGCTAAAACTGAAAATATACGCCACCATTTTTCTGGGATTAGGAAACGTCGTTTCAAAATAGATTTGCTCCCCACCTAAAGTTTTTAAAAATAAAATAAATTAATGCATTCAAACACATACATATTCAAATGAAAGATTAATTACCCGATTCCGGAATAGTACTTCCCAGCTAATAAAATATGATAATAATTAAATTAAATTGAATTAAATAAAACGAAAATAAAATGAAAATTCTTACTTCTACATAAATAAGACTTCCAATCATAACGTAAAAAAAGCCCAAGATATAGAGGACTAGAGTCATTCCTCCACTCTGCGTCAAAACCATAATTTGACCGGGAGTTGCATAAATGCCTAAAAAATTTTAATTTGTTAACTTTTAGACGTATACACAGATATTATAATAATAAATTTAATAAATATAAATTCATACCACTGCCGATCATCTGATTTACGTTCAACCACATTCCACTAAAAACACCCAAAACTTTCACACGATTGTCATCATTAAAAGAACTACTGCTAGAGCTGCTAGAACTGCTAGAGCTTTGAGAATCTATATTTATTTGTGCTTCTTTGTCTTCAGCCATAATTAAAACACGAGTTTAATTAATTTATTAATTAATATAAGTCTAATACATTAATTAAATGGGCGTTTGATAGATGCGTGTTTAAAAAAAATAGAAAACTTTGGTAAATATATTATATATATATATTCTTAATTGATAAATAATAGAACACATGTTTATTTAATGAAGTGGTAAACCTTAATTTTGCAAAGAACATTCCATAGATGAATTTTATTGTTAAATTTCCAATTATGTACTCCACGAAGTTTCTTATTAGCGGAGTCTCGTGTATCAAAACAATTTCTAATTTCCGATGGATAAGAGGCATCAAGCATAATTAATACTTTTGTTTTTATATTTTGCTTATTTGTACATGGCAATTATAGTCGAAATTCCTGTAACTGTGAATTTAAATGTTCATTAAATTCTTGTAATGTTTCCATAGTTGATTTTATTTCCATATGAAAGATAGATGAAACAAAAGTTTTGAATCCCAATAGAAAATCTTCAATATTTTACGATTCTTCTTTGAATCATTTTAAAATCGTTAAGATCTAGAAACAAGTTCTTGTTTTAAAAAAAAATTCTATAGGTATATCTGTTTTAAGTTTTCTGATTTCTTCGAGTGATGGTAAAATTTGTTCAGGGCAATAAAAAATTCAGTTATTTTAGAAGAATGACACCTTCAGTTTTCTGCATCCCATAAAAAATTCACTATCACGTCACCTTTCGAATATAATTCAAGTAATCTACCTAAACTTCTAAATATATAAAAGATAATAATATAATGCAAATATATAACATACAATACAATCTCAAGAATAATATTTCATTACAACATTTAACATATCTGGAGGGGTTGAATTTGAATTTCTTCTCGGACGATAATAAATCAAGTACCACAAATTAACACAATATAATAATAATAAGTATATAATTAAATTTTTCAAAATATCTGAAGCAGGGAAGAATGTGCAAAAAAGATGACTAGTGAAAATTATATAAAAAGTAAATCCATGTTATATCGATTCTAATTTTCTGGCTCAGTTTTACGTAAAACCTTTAAATAAATACATTATGATATTTATGATAATTATATTGTTATAAATAATAAATTTTAAAACTTTACTAATAGTCCTGTTGCACACATAAAATAAAAATAATGTCAGTATATTGAGCCACGTTTGCAAGGAATTTTCTAAGGGGATGCACGGGATCACGAATAAAAGGGTCATGGTTAAGAATTAAAGCCTTAAAATGGAGTTTATATCTTTCATCAAATTTTTTTTAACTGGAAAGAAAAATCCGGCTTTATCCACAGAAGCTATGAGTCTTAAATAGCCTATATACCACCGAAACAAGAAATTGCAATTAAGATTAATATTGCAACTGGTCCTAATATTTCTCAGGTTCATCCTTACTATTAAAGCAAGAATTGCAAGACAGTCTAAAATAATAAAATATTATTATTATTATTATTATTAGCATTATTGTTGATGTAATTATTAATATAAAATTTCTAAAATTTCTTAAGAATATATTTACAAAAGATGCCAACGATGAGAAAACTAGTAAGATTTGAACTTAACCTTCTCTTTGGATTGCGCATTTCATTCAAAAAGATTAAAAATATAATATTAGAAATAAAGTAGTAGTAATAGTAAATAAAATAAAATAAATAATAATGATAAATTTACAATTTTATCCTGAAAAAGCAAATGAGACTTTGAAATAATTATCTAAAACAAACCTTTAACATTGGACTGATATAACAACTATAATATTTTATTGCTCGCGTGTTATTAAAAAGATAGGAGGGCGATAATTGTTCTGAGTGGTTTTTTTTTATTCTGGTGAGCCCAAATAATCACCATAGTCAACAATGTTAGATAACAGCTGATATTTGATTCACTCATAAAACAACTTTGTTACTGAATAGATGATAAATAGTAATAATTGATATAATTCCAAATGCTATAATCCTAAAAAATCATTTTGATGTGAATTTTATTATTTTTTTTAAAAAAAAATAAAAATAATATAATAAATAATAAATAATAAAATAAAAAATAAAAATAGAAAAAAATAATAAAATTCCAGTTTATTCGAATTTTTATCGTCGTTACTATGAATTGCATCATAGGTATATTGGGAAGCTGCCATTCTGATGGAAATAATACAAACTGGTTTTGCGAGACTAAATAAATTTTATTATTATCAAGAGATGTATAATTTTAAGAATAACTAATTACCACCTAAAGTTTTTAAAATAAATAAATTAATGCATTCACACAAAAGATAGATTAATGATATTTAAAATATATACCTCCGTTATAGAACTTCTGAGCTAATAAATATAAGAAATTAAATAAATTAAAATAAATTAAAATAAATAAATTAAATAAAATAAATGAAATTCATAAAGCTCCCAACAATAACGTAAAAAACCCGTCCCGTCAAATTCATAATTTTGCTAGGGGTTGCACAAATACCTAAATTTGTTAACTTTTATAAAGTATAACAATAATGCATACAATAATTATACCACTGCCGATCATTATATTTACGTTCAACTGAAAACTCCCCCATCATTGTCATCATTAGAAGAAAGAGCTTTGAGATAGTATCAAATATTTCTATTTCACTCGTTCCGATAGTTCCACTGTCTCCAGACACAAACATAATAAAATATGGGTTAATTTAATTTATTAATTAATACAAGTCTATTAATTAAATGGGCGTTTAATAAATGCGCGTGTTTTAAAATTTTGATAAAAATATTAAAAATATTACATATATATATTCTTTATAAAACATGTTTATTGAAACCGAAAATTCTGTAAAGAATTTCATAAAACAAATATGCATAAAATTCAAATATTGATTTGGTGTTACTCCTAAAATTTGTGTCATATAATTTCTTGTAATCTTTTGATCCTATAATTAAAGATGAATGCTCAAGGTCGTTCTGGTTCAGTTTTACATAAAACCTTTAAATAAATATATTATGAGAATTATGATCATTACATTGTGATAAATAATAAATTTTAAAACTTACTAATAGTCCGATTGCACACATAAAATAAAAAAATAAGGTCAGTATTTTGAACTGTGTTTACAAATACATAGCAGGAATTTTCTAAGGACCATGGTTAAATAGCACCATTGAAAATTTTGGAGTATTTCATCTTTCGTCAAATTTTTTTAAAACTGGAATAAATTCGGGTACAATATAATAGGTATTATATTATTATATTTATGATCAATTTTATCAAAAAATTTTTATCACAATTTTATATATTATTATTATTTATTATTATTATATTATGCTATTAATTATATTAGTATTATCAAAGGATGCCAACAATGAGGACACTAACCTTTTCTTTGAATTGCGCATTTCATCCAAAAAGAATCTAAAAAAGATTAAAATATAATATCAGAAATAAAGTAGTAATAGTAAATAAATAAAATAAATAATAATGATAATTACAGTTAAGAGCATTCCATCCCATAAGCAAATAGGATCTTGAAAAGAGAAAAAGGGAAATAAATATTCAAATTACTGTTTCTTTAAAAAAAAAAATAAATAATTATCTAGACAAACCTTTACACAGGTCAAATACAAAAGAATTGCCGTACCGAAAAGGAATTCCGATTTTAGCTGATTTTTAGCTGATCTATAATATAGGAATTACCATTCGGTACAGCGATTACATTGAATTTGCATAATATTTTATTTCCCTCGTGTTACCAAAAAGATATGATTTTTCTATATCTGATTTATCCTAAAAAAAAATAACCATTGCGAGATGAAATATTATTATTATTATTTTGAAAAAAAATATAAATGTCAAAATTCAAGATAATGTATATCTTCTATTATTGTATAGATATATTTGGAAACTGCTATTTTATTTTATCATTCAAAAAATTAAGTGAAAGATGTACGCCACGCCCTTTCAAAATAGCCACCTAAGTTTTTAAAAATAAATTAAATTAATGCATTCAGTCAGTACTTCCAAACTAAATAAATATGAAAATAATTAAATTAAATAAATTAAATCGAAAATAATGAAAATTCTTACTTCTAAATAAATAAAACTTCCAATCAAAACATAAAAATTCATAATTTGGCCGGTGGTGGTTAAAAAAATTTTAAAAGTTTTTAACTTTATAACGTACACAAAAAACTCACACTACTGCCGATGATTAGATTTATGTCCCACTGAAAACACCCAAAACTCTCCCCTATTGTCACCATTAAAAATACTACTCCTAGAGCTAGAGCTTTGAGAATCTACATAAATAGCATCATTTCTTTCAAGTATTTGTGTTTCGCTTCCATCACTAGTTCCACCGTACATAACACGAGTCTAATTTAATTTATTAATTAAATGGGCGTTTAATAGATACATATTAGAAAAAATATATTATATATATATATTTTCTTCATTGATAATCTTCTATGCATGTTTATTTAATGAAGTGGTAAACCTAACATTCTGGCAAAGAATTCCATAGAAAGAATTGTTCGAAAATAATGCAGATAACGTGAATTTCATTGTTAAAATTCCATTGTTACTCTACGAATTTTATTCTTTTTTAATACTAACGGAGTCTCGCTCCAGTATGTTTATTGAGATGGATATATTATTTCACGTGATTAACATCTTATAGTACAGGTGTAATGGAACCTGCTTAAAATTTGTAGATAAAGAGAAGTTAGATTTAGAATCCATCTACTAAACTGTATACATTATACATGCTGTAAGCCGACTCAATTAATGAAATTTAATTGATTGCATCATAATTGCTAAAAAGGTTTTGAATCTTAATAGAAAATAATATACAAAATAGACATCATTTTTCTCTTTCATTTTTTCGTACATTTTATCTTAAGATCTAGAATAAGTTCTCGTTTTTATAAGCATATATGTTTTAGGTTTTCTTATTTCTTCGAGTGATGGTAAAATTTCGTTCAGAGAAATAAAAAATACAGAAGCAGTTTTATGCGTCCCATAAAAATTCATCTTTCGAATATGGATTTTTATTATTTTATAATTCAAGTAATTACCTAATCTTCTAAATATAAAAGATAATAATATTTATACAGTATATATAAAATAATATAATACAAATATACACATTACATAAAAGAAAAATATTGTTATAAATTGAAGTACAATCTCGAGTTTAATATTTTACAGTCAACCCGTTGGAGGGGTTAAAGTGAATTTCTCTTTGGCCTATGATAAATTAAATACCAACATATTAACCCAAATATAATAACAATATAAGAAAGTATATAGTTAAATCTTTCAATATAATTTTTGGTTTCGGATCTGGGAAAGAATGTTCCAACAAAGATGGCTAGTGAAAATAATATAAAAAAGTAAACCCAAGTTATATCGATTCTGAATGGACGATGTCGTTCTGGTTCAGTTTTACGTAAAACCTTTAAATAAATATATTATGAGATTTAAGATCATTATATTGTGATAAATAATAAATTTAAAAACTTACTAATAGTCCTATTGCACATCTAAAATAAAAAATAATGTTAGAATTTTGTGCTGTGTTTACAAGCACATCGTAGGGTTTGCTCAGTGGAAGGAAAATTATAATGGTTAAATAACACCATTGAAAAATACGGATATAACATAAAATATTGTTATAAATTGAAAATACAATCTCAAGATTAATATTTAACAGTTCAACATTTGAAATTTCTGGAGGGTTTGAATTTGAATTTCTCTTCGGACGATAATAAATTAAATACCAACATATAAATGGTATCAATTATCATATGATCGTTATCTTCAAAAAAAGGATCATTATCATTCAAATCTTCACTCTGGACAATAATAATTTTTGTTCCTCTAAATAAAATAGATGGAACAAAAAATATACATAATCGACTTATCATTTTTCGCATTTATTTTTCAATGTTTAAAATTCTTCTGATGGTTTCCTCGAGTAAGTGATCTGTTTGTTATGGATTATTTAAAAATTGCATCATAGGACAAGTTCTTATTTTTAAAAAAAATTCTATAAGCATATCTGTTTTAGGTTTTCTGATTTCTCCGAGTGATGGTAAATTTTGTTTAGAGTAATAAAAAATACAGTTAATTTTAGAAGCATATGAAACATTCAGTTTTCTGCATCCCATAAAAAATTCACTACCACACAGTCACCTTTCGAATATAGATTTTTATTATTCTTATAATTTAAGTAATTTATCTAAGCCTCTAAAATATAAAATAATAATATAATACAAATATACATAAAATATTGTTATAATTAAATACAATCTCAAGATTAATATTTTACAGTTAACTTGGAAAAATCGATATTTTTAGACCAACATATTAACCCAAATATAATAACAATGTAAGTAATTATATAATAACATCTTTCAATAAAATCATTGGATTTGGCATTTGTTTTAATACGAATTCTCGTTCTCCAATTCGTAGTTCTTGAACACCTATAGCTTTTCTCCGAGCTCAGACGTATTCTAATACTCGATCACGACGTTTATCTCGTTTTTCTATAATATTATTACTACGATATTTCCATAAATGTATGGTATTCTGTGATATAATAAGTTGAGTTCCTTCAACAGAATCCAAGTAAATTGATATTCGAAAATAATTTTCGTTTGGACAATTATTTATAATTATTTGATTTTTTGGTATTTCGATCTTACACCATTTATATTATAAATCACATGATTAACGTGATATTATTAATTTCTGTCATTTCCTAGTTGAAGCCACAAGATCTAACACTGAAAAAATATCATCATCTATAACCGCAAACATATTTCCATGAAAATTCATTAATCTATGTGAGAGATCCATTTTTAGAGGTTTCGAAGTTTCGGAATAATCAATTTGACGTATGGAATTTTCGAATGTGGTAAATAAATCCCATACTACAAATTTTGGATGCTTAGAATCTTCAACTTATTGATATTCTTTTTCTTCAAAAGTCTACGATCATCATCAATAAAATTTATAGCAATAATCTTATAAATTCCTCTTTGACTTTCTAATTGTTTGGTAGTAATTTCTAAACCATTTTCTATAAAGTATAATGTAATGCTGGTAGTTCCTCGACAAAATTCTAAAATCTTTTCACTTTGAGAGATGGCAAAGATTGGAGAACCATGAAATACGTTGGGAGCTACCAAAGATTCATGACGTTTAAATAACATCTCTAGATCACCAGTAATTAGACTATACATTTCAATAATTTGTTGCCGATTTTCAAAAGGATGTGTCATAAAATGATTTTTAATAATACTTGTGTGTAAGAGTTCTAATGAATTTTGCCAATTATTACGTGAAACACGAATTGAAAGCTGTTCGAATTGTTCAATTTTGGATGATCTGAGAAAAATCTTTTTCTTTTAATATCATTCATGGTTACTTTATAAATTCCTGACTCATTAAAAATAATGATACTGGTTTGTTTTTTAATGGACTATCATCACTATCAAGAAATTTTATTATACCGCCAATTGAAAAAGTATATATTTCATTTCCATTAGTAGAGATAATCCTTGTTTAATGAAGATATTTATCACCAAATTTTAAGTCATTTTCGTCATTACTTTTTTTTTGCCAGATTCTAAGTCATTTTTATCGCCAGATTTAGTGTAATTTTTGTCATCACCATATTGGTCATTAACTTTATCACCAGATTCATAACCATAACGGAATCCTCCTTCATCAAAACAAGACAATGCAATAAAACGTTTATTTCGATCACCATCTACACAATTAGAAATTGCTATAGACCAACAAAGGCGTTCATCATTAACTACGGATCCTTGTGCAGAAATGTTACTTGAACTTGAATCATCAATATTATATAACTTAAATTCGTTCCTCTCTATTATTTTAATTATTTTATAAATTATTAAAGATTTATTAAAAATTATTAAGGTAAAAGAAATAATCAGCATAATAATTAATAAAAGATTAATAATTATCTTTACCTGGACTAAAAGTAATATTTTTTGACTGTCTGAACTTATCGCTACGCAACTACCGAAAAACTGAGAAATCTTTCTCTGTGGATCTAGTTATTGATTTACCCGATGAATCTTTGTCATTTTCAAAATGATGTTTTTTGACATGTTTGTAAACAGTTTAATGGAAGTAAATTTATCACTTTATAATATTTTTTTTTGTTAGCATATCAAATGCTGACTTTTACATCATTTAAATTTATATTAATCTTATTTATTATTTAAAAAAACGCTTCTACCATTATCATACTAAAAATGTCGTTGATGAAAGATATTCGCATAGAATGCGTAACAAATAAACAAAGTTTGTTCACACATCTGAAAAAATAGATTTGGTGATCCAAACAAAGTGAAGGAGATTATCTATATAAATAAATATATTATTAATTTCAGAAATGTATAACGCATCCTATTAACTCATCAGTAAAAGTAAAATAAAAATGATTGTTTTATGGTCATTTTTGATATTTGACAATATTATATTATTTTAGATGTTTAGGTTTTTTACCATATTCAAGTTTATGGGATAGGCATTTTGTGTATATTTCGACCTAAATTTTGTTTCTTCAACCATATGCTGCATGAATGTGATTTTGCTTTAATGGATTATGACCAAAAATTCCATTTACCAAATACTAAATACTATTAAAATTCATAAGAAAATAATTTCTTTTTTGTTTTTGTAATACAAGAAATTGCTTACATTTATAATGTCATACTTGTTTAACTAGAAAATTCCTAAATTCCTAACTTTTGGTCATGTAAATAACTCCGATTGACAGATATAATTAAGGAATACCATGAATGATTTTGGAATTTGAAAGTTTGTATCTTGAATTAAGTATCCTTGCATCTTATTATTTTTTATCTTCGTATTTTTTGGTGAATTTTGAAAAAATAAATAATTATCGTTATAGTGCCGTCAAAGTCTCCTGAAAGTTGAGATGCTGTCCCTTTGATGATCAACATTTCGTTTTTTGTAAAAGCAATTATTATAAATGTGATTTTTCATGTTTTTGAATTTTTAATAAAAATAAATAGATCATCAGCATAAAGTAACGGATTTATTGTAATTAAAGATAATATAATAAATAAAATAAATGAATGTTTATTAAAAATAGAGAACTTTCCATTTATTATTTTTTGAATATAACATTTTTTAAAAAGAATTGATATTCTTATTTCTTTTAAAATTTCAAGCCAATAAATTATTTTTTTTATTTGTTGTCATTATAAAAATTAAAAAAAATTTATATTCCGCTTAATCTTTCAGCTATAAATTTGGGTTTTAAATATATTCATAAATAGTTATAAAATGTGAAAATGTAAAATAATAATACTAGGAAACGGAACGAGCAAATTATTAATATTTGCCGATGACACAAATTTTGGCTATTTATTCATTTAAAATATCTAATTAAATGTAATAAAAAGTAAAGCTTAGTTTTATTATTAACAAGATAACAAAATTGAATAAATATTATTTTCCATGAATATTATTTATCAGACCCAAATGAGAAAATTCATTTCAAATAATGACAAATTAAATTTTTTTTTTTTTGTAAAAAAAAAAATTTGATCATTAGCGGAATTTTTCTTCATATTAAAAAATTACCCCTATAAAAATTGTTTGCCCATAAATTGTCTATAAAACATCTGAAAATATTTTTTGAGTTATATAAAAAATGAATGTTTGCTCAAAATATTAATAATTGAATGTCTACAAATTACAATGCCAAAAATCAAAGCGAAAATAAAAAAGGTATTTTCGTCATATTTAACTTTATTTATTATACTGTATATACTGTACATATATATAAATTAATAAAGATTTAATATTTCAAATTTTATTTATTCAATTAATTAAATGTAATAAATAATTAGTTAAACTTTGATGTTATAATATTTATAGATGCAATCTATTCCATTCTAATACCTAAACTTAGCAATCACTAATTCTGGATTCTTTCTTTTATTTTATGTGTGAAATTTAGATCATTTGGAATTCTTCTTATAATATTCAATTTTTCTTCTTCCAATTTTGTTACTTTTTCTATTGAAATTACATCTTGCAAAAGATGTTTTCAATTTGTAAAATACTATCAGGAAAGCAATTTTTTAAGACGAAATACACCATTAGGAGTAAGTTATTAAATGTTATTAAAAGTTTATTTATTAAATTCTACAATATTGCATCTTTTCGTTGATTAATAGCTCTTTTTCCTATTGATATACATATGTTATCAATAAAGCACCTGTTCTATCTCTTGTGTTGCTTTAATTTGTAATTTTAATATATATTTATTACATTTCCTGTTAAATTTTGCTTAATAAACTTTACTCCCAAGGCTTCTAGAGCTTCATCATTTTTCATCATTATCTATTGTAACTGGTACAGCAAATTAAAGTTTTTCTTATAATTTTGGGAATCGAGTGATCCAAGAAAATAACTTTTTTTCGGAAAAATATCTCGTTTAATAGTGAAGTCATGTGATTTAGAAGACTTACTAAGAAGGAATACAGTACATGAAAATAAAGATAACCTTCTATCAGTTTATTTTATTTTATAAAAAATTACTTTATAGAGATACAAAAAAAAATGTTGTATGATTAATTAATATATAACCTGGCTTGAAAGAAACTATTATAGATGCTGGACATAAATGTATTTTATCTTAAGTGAACTTAATTTTATTGAATGATATTGGGATGCTGCGAAAAGATATACTGTAATTATTCACGGTCTGATTTGTTCAACGGTTTAGATACAGTTGATACAATTAAGATAAGAAAGTTTGCCCAATAGAAAATACAATACATAATAGACTTATCATTTTTTTATGTTTAAAATTCTTCTGTTTTAGTTTCGAGTGATGGTAAAATTTGTTCAGAGCAATAAAAAATACAGTTAATTTTTAGAAGCGTCCCATAAAAAATTCACTATCAGATAAATGCTGTTTTAGAATCGCCTTCGAATATAGATTTTTATTATTTTATAATTCAAGTAATTTACCTAATCTTCTAAATATATGAATGATAATATTTATACAGTATATATGAAATAATAATATGAATATAACATACAAGAAAAATATTGAAATACAATCTCAAGATTAATATTTTACAGTTAATCCATTACAGCATTTGACTTTTCTAGAGGGGTTGAATTTAAAATTCTTCTTGGACGATAATAAATTAAATACCAACATATAAACCCAAATATAATAACAGTATAAGTAATTATATAATAATATTTTTCAATATAAATTGAAGCATCTGGGGCAGGGAAGAATGTACCAACAAAGATGGCTAGTGAAAATAATATAAAAAAATAAACCCATGCTAAATTGATCTTGAATGGACGATGTCGTTTTGGTTCAGTTTTACGTAAAACCTTTAAATAAATATATTATGAGATTTAAGATCATTATATTGTGATAAATAATAAATTTGAAAACTTACTAATAGTCCTATTGCACATATAAAATAAACAATAATGTTAGTATTTTGTGCTGTGTTTACAAGCACATCGTAGGGTTTGTTCAGTGGAAGGAAAATTATAATGGTTAAATAACACCATTGAAAGATTAAAGCATTGAATGGAGTAAACCATCTTTCATCAAATCTTTTTAAAACTGAAGGGATAAATCCAGCTTTAGCCACAGAAGCTATGAGCCTTGAATTACCCCATATACCAGAACCTACTGCACCAAAACAAGAAATTGTAATTAAGATTGATATTGCAACTGCTGAACCAATTTCATCTCCTAATTTTGCACTCATAATTACAGGATCGTAGTAATCCTCAAAATTCGTAGGCACCGTTACTATTAAAGCAAGGATTGTAAGGCAGTCTAAAATAAAAATGTTATTGTTAATATTATTAGTGTTATCGTTTTCATTATTATTTAAAATAAGAATACTTACAAAGAATGCCAACTATGAGGACACTAGCAGGACTTGAAATTCTTAACTTTTTTTTTGGTCTGCGCATTTCATTCAAAGAATCTAAAAAGGTTAAAAATAGAATATTAGTAATAGTAAATAAAATAATATAAATAATAATGATAAATTACAATTAAGAGTATTCCATCCTGAATAAGCAAATAGGACCTTGAAAATTAAAAAGAAATATTAAAATTACTGTTTCTTTTTAAAAAAAGAAAAATAAATATTAAAATTACTGTTTCTTTAATAAAAAGAATAATTATCTAAAACAAACCTTTAACATTGAACTGGCATAATTATTATAATATTCTATTCCACGCGCGTTACCAAAAAGATAGTTAGACGATAATCTTTCTGGGTGGTTTTTTATTCTGGTAAATCCAATAATCACCACGATCAACAACGTTGATACTTTGATGACAGCTAATATCTGATTTATCCATACAGCAACTCTGTTACTGAATAGATGATAAACAGTAACAATTGATATAATGCCAAATGCTATAAAACGGTATTTCCTAAAAAAAAAAATCATGTGAGGCGAATTTAATTATTTTTCTAAAAAAAATAAAATAGAATAAAAATAAAAAAATATACCAAAATTCAAGATTATGTATATCTTCTAAGGCAGACTTATCATAACCATTATTATTAATTGCGTAATATATATATTGGGATGCTGCTATACTGATGGAAATAATACCAACTGGTTTTGCGAGACTAAATAAATAAATTTTATTTTTATCAATCAAAATTAAAAGAAAAGATGTATAATTAAAAGAATAATTATTCACACACTTACGCAATTGAGATTATACTAAAAATATACGCCACCATTTTTTCGGGATTAGGAAACGCCTTTTCAAAATAAATTTGCTCCCCACCTAAAGTTTTTAAAAATAAAATAAATTAATGCATTCAATCACATATTCACATAAAAAATTAATTGATATTTAAGAAATAATAATAATTACCTGCCTCCGTTATAGAACTTCCGAGCTAATGAAAAATAAGAAAATTAAATAAATTAAAATAAATAAAACGAAAATAAATGAAATTCTTACTTCTACATAAATAAAACTTCCAAGCATAACGTAAAAAAAGCCCAAGATATAGAGGACTAGAGTCATTCCCCCACTCCGCGTCAAATTCATAATTTGACCGGGAGTTGCATAAATACCTAAAAAAAATTAAATTTGTTAACTTTTTATAACGTATGCACAAAATATAATAATGATAAACTCATACCACTGCCGATCATTAGATTTAAGTTCAATGTCATTCCACTGAAAGCATCCAAAATTCCTCCACCATTGTCATCATTAAAAGAATTATTGCTATAAATGCTAGAGCTGCTAGGGCTGTTAGAGCTTGGAGGATCCATATGAATGGCTTCATTTCTTTCGAGTATTTCAGTTTCACTTCCACCGTTAGTTCCGCTAGTTCTGCTAGTTTCACTGTCTTCAGACATAATTTGTTAATTTAATATATTAAATGGGAGTTTAATATGTGTGTGCGCTTTAAAACTCGAAAAATAATATTTTATTTTTTAATTTTCTTCGTATTTTTTTTTTCAATCAATTTTTAAGTCCTAAAGTAACGCTTATTATATACATTCGCAAAATCTATTATTATATGGGACCTCCCACAGCAAAAACAGGTTCTCGGCTCGAAAATTTTTTTTTTGAGATTTTATTATAATTCATTCAACCTTTTTTGCTGTGGGAGTCCCCATATATTCTTCATTGTTTTAAGTCCTAAGTTCCGCTTATTAATAGACTCTTCATTGATAAATCTTAGAACATGTTCTATATAGAAACAATCTTAATGCAGCGTGAACTTCATTGTAGATTTCCAATCGTGTAAATATTTTAATACTATCGGAGTCTTGCTCCAAAATTCCACTCTTGTATCACGTGATTAGTATCTTTTATGGTAAAATGTATAATGAAGATCGAATTGATTTGCACGAAGATACAACCTGACTAAAAAAAGTGCATCAGAAGAATCTATTATAGATGCTGGACATAAATGTATTTTTATCTTAAGTTCCATTGTGAACTTAATTTATTGAATGATATTGGGATACTGCAAAAAGATATACTATAATTATTCATGGTATGATTTTCAACGGTTATGAGAATTTGTAATTTCTGACCTATCCAAAAGTGTTCATCTCAAAAGAAACAGTTAAATAAATTTATCTTTTATTCCATATGAAACTTTACATAATATTTGACTCTCTAAATAAGTAGAATAAAAAGTTTTTAAATCCTAATAGAAAAATATACATAATTGACTTATCATTTTTCTCATTCATTTTTTCAATGTTTTAAAATTCTTCTGATAGTTTCCTCGAGTAAGTGGTCTGTTTGTTATGGTTCTTTTTAAAATTGTCAACATAGAACAAGTTCTTGTTTTTTAAAAAAAAAATTTCTGATTTCTTCGAGTGATGGTAAAATTTTGTTTAGAGTAATAAAAAATCACAGTTAATTTTAGAAGCGGACACCTTCAGTTTTTTGCATCACATAAAAAATTCACTATCACAGAGTCACCTTTTGAATATAAATTATTTATGTAAAATATCAATAATGAGATTGTATATTCAATTTAAAACAATATTTTTTTTTGTATGTTATTATTATTATCTTTTATATATCTTAAAGGTTAGGTTAATGTATTTGAATTAACAGATTCTGGAGGGGTTGAATTTGAATTTCTCCTTGGACGATAATAAATTAAATACCAACATATTAAACCAAATATAATAATAATAATAATAAGTATATAATTATATCTTAGATAATTTGGGATATTTGGGGCAGGAATGAACACCCCAACAAATATGGCGAGTGAAAAGAATATAAAAAGGTAAACCCATGATGTATCGATTCTGAATGGACGTTCTCGGTCTGGTTCAGTTTCACGTAAAACCTTTAAAAAATAAATATATTATGAGATTTATAATCATTATATTGTGATAAATAATAAATTTGAAAACTTACTAATAGTCCTATTGCAGACATAAAATAAAAAATAATGTAAGTATTTTGAGACATGTTTACAAGTGCATCATAGGGCTTGTCCAATGGAAGGCAAATTATAAATGTTAAATAACACCATTGAAAAATTAAAGCATTAAATGGAGTATTCCACCTTTCGTCAAATTTTTGTAAAACTGGAGAGAATGCTGGGATAAATCCGGCTTTAGCTACGGAAGCTATAAGTCTTGAATTACCCCATATATCAGAACCTACTGCACCGAAACAAGAAATTGCAATTAAGATTGATATTGCAACTGCTGAACCAATTACATCTCCTAATTTTGCACTCATAATTTCAGGAGTAGATTGATCAATATATTCCTTAGGTACCGTTACTATTAAAGCAAGGATTGTAAGGCAGTCTAAAATAAAAATATTATTAGTATTATTGTTTTCATTATTATTTTAAAATAAGAATACTTACAAAGAATGCCAACGATGAGGACACTAGCAGGATTTGAAATTCTTAACCTTTTCTTTGGATTGCGCATTTCATCCAAAGAATCTAAGAAAGATCAAAAATATAATATTAGGAATAAAGTTGTAATGGTAAATAAAATAAAATAAACAAATAATAATGATAAATTACAATTAAGAGTATTCCATCCTGAATAAGCAAATAGGACCTTGAAAAAGGAAAATAAATATTCATATTACTGTTTCTTTAAAAAAAAAAGAAATAATTTCCTAAAACAAACCTTTAACATTGAACTAGAATAATTATTATAATATTTTATTTCTTTCGTATTACCAAAAAATTTTTCTGAGTGGATGTTTATGTTTTTCATTTTGGTGAACCCAATAATCACAACCCCAAATAATGTTAATACTTTGATGACAGCTAATATCTGATTTATCCATACAGCAACTTTGTTACTGAATAGATGATAAACAGTAACAATTGATATAATGCCAAATGCTACTAAACGGTATTTCCTAAAAAAAACCATGTGAGATGAATTTAATTATTTTTTAAAAAAGATAAAAAATAAAAATAAAAATATACCAAAATTCAATATTATGTATGTCTTCTAAGGGAGATTCATCATAATTTTTATGAATTGCATAATAGATATATTGAGAAGCTGCTATACTGATGGAAATAATTTCAAATGGTTTGGCGAGACTAAATAAATTAAATAAATTTTATTTTTATCAATCAAAAAATTAAAAGATTTTTTTTTGATAGATTTATAATTTTAAGAATGACCAATTATTCACACTTACACAATTGTGCTAAAACTGAAAATATACGCCACCATTTTTTTGGGATTAGGAAACGCCTTTTCAAAATAGATTTGCTCCCCACCTAAAGTTTTTAGAAATAAAATAAATTAATGCATTCACCACGTTCACATATTCACACAATAGATTAATTACCCGATTCCGAAATAGTACTTCCAAGCTAATAAAATATGAAAAATTATTAAATTAAATTAAAATAATTAAAATAAATAAAACGAAAATAAATGAAAATTCTTACTTCGACATAAATAAAACTTCCAATCATAACGTAAAAAAACCCAATCACATACATGATCAAAGTCATTCCTCCACTCCCCGTCAATTTCATAACTTGACCGGGGGTGGCATAAATACCTAAAATATTTTTAAATTTGTTAACTTTTATAACGTATACACATAATAATGATGATTAAACTCATACCACTGCCGATCATTAAATTTACGTTCAACCACATGCCACCGAAAATACCCAAAACTTTGTCATAATTAAAAAAATTTCTGCTATAAATGCTAGAGCTTGAAGGAGCTATATGAATGGCATCATTTAGTATTTGCGTTATTTGCGTTTCACTTCCACCACTAGTTTCACCGTCTTCAGGCATAATTTATTAATTTAATTTATTAAATGGGAGTAAAAACTTTGGTAAATGTTCTATTATTTTCTTCGTAATTTTTTCAATCAATTTTTATATCTTCTTCGTTGACTATTTATATCTTCTTCGTTGACTATTTATATCTTCTTCGTTGACTATTTATATCTTCTTCGTTGTCTATTTTTATATATATATATATATATTCTTCATTGTTTCAAGTCCTAAAGTGCCGCCTTTAATATCATGTTCTATGCATATGAATTTTTATTTTTAAAAAATTAAAATTCCAAATATGTAAATATTCTAGGAGTCTCGTTCCATATCACGAGATCAATATTGTATTTTTTGCATTTGCCAATTATTACTCGTTCCAAAATAGGCATTAGTCATTTACGTGAGATCTTACCTCGCGTGTTTATTAACATTATCTGTTCCATTTTAGTTTTCTTTAATAAATGTTAATACAACAAAAGAAATTACAGTTCGTATAAATATTTTTTGTGTAGTTTGTACTTATAAGTTGATATATTACTATTTTAATAATTTAGAATGACTAAGAATTTGAACCAATAAAAATATTATTAATAATAAGTAACAATATTTTTAAGTTCATTTACCATAAATGGGGGTCGTCTAAAGCGGAGATAAATCACATGATTATCAAGTGATCTTATGTGATAATTCAGTAGCGAAGTTAGATTAATTTATAGCGAAGTTAAATTAATTTATAGCGAAGTTAGATTAATTTATAGCGAAGTTAAAT